ACTCTTCGGTAAAATTAAAAAAATTCAAAGTTGAGAAAATGTGTTACGAAAATTTACAGACTAACTTCTGTTAACCCCGTGTAATGATGAAAAAAATCGATTTTATCGAATCTTTACGATTAACAGTCATTTGAATTTTAACCGAGTCAGTAATCCAAAAATCCAGTAAAAATACTAACTCTTGTAAAAAAAATCTAAGGGTGCATCCAGAAGCAGCGGAGCTCCACACTCCTTCATCAAAACAGCACCGCAGCTGAGCTGCGAGTGCTATGAAAGAAAAAGGACATCGACTTATTACCACTACCTACTTCTCTCCCTTCCGCTCTCAGAATTCGCCGATTCGGTGTCTCTCATTGTGTTTTCTGCTGAGACTGAGCAATATTCGTTACCGCGAAACATCTCCGCAGTTATGTTTTCTTTCGGCGCAGGAGATGTGCGGTAATCAAAAGTTAAGAATGTAGCTAAACATCTACAATATCATTCTACCAAATTTTCATGTGCGTAGTCCACTGCAACAGCCGAACGTACGAATGAATAGGGTGACTATAGCGCATTTTATGAAAACGTCACAAGTTTTTCTGGCTGTTTAAAATCAATAATTACGAAGAAACCATAAAACCTACAAGGTTACTACCAAAGGCACAAATCTAGGGAACTGCATGGAAAATGTTTTGTAGAACAACTAAATAAACAGAAATGAAAATTTTCAACTTAAAAACATTAAAATGTATGAAATTTCACCAGTTTTTTTGGTACTTTCAACATACTTTTCAATTTTAATGTATGATAATTAACTTTAATCAAGTTCTTTTTCAAAGAGCATTGATAGCTTAGACTTTAATCTTTCATTTAATATGTTGAAATCAGAAAACCACATAAGGATTAAAAAAATATAGCTAACCAAAGTTGGCAATACAAAAAAACATAAAATGTTGAATAACTCACTTAGCAGTCATTTCCGACCCTATGTTTCATGGGAATTTTTTCATAACTTTAGGAGCCCTATCTACCCTGAAAATATGTAAAACCCGGAACCAAACACGCTGTATAAGCAGTTTTATTTTATTTTTTTAAGTCTCTTGACTAACCACCTGCACCCGGAGATTTGTACACTCAAAATAATCGACACGTTATAGTTACGTGAAAAATCACGTAGAGTATCTCTTTTTGCTTTGTCATCAATTTTACATGATCCAAGTAGAATCTACATGATACCACTTATATATAAGGGGCAATTCCATTCGAAGCTGCTACATTTTTTAATGAAGTTTACGTGATTTGCCCATACACAGATTCTATGTGCGTTTCACGTAAACCATAAATGATTTTCACGCCTGAAAAAAAAAGAGTTACACTCGGAGTGCGCAGTAGGCACTGTCCGCAAACAGACGGTTTTAATTTCGCTGTCACAAATTCCGTGTTTTCCGCGTGTTTTTTGACTTGTACCAAGGCAAAAAGTAATTCGTTTTCATTATTATCATGTGAATATAGATTCATCATGATTAATTTATCGGTGTTTTAATATTGTAAATTATTGTGAAAATTCCTGGGTTACAATTTGAATAGTTGTGTTGCTGTAGCGTCGTGCTAGTGTGTTTCGGTGCTACGCCTCCACTTCCGGAAGCATTGGCGTTCTGCCCCCTGGACAAAAACCGGGAAAGATGAATTTGCAGATTAGACTACGATGCTTCCACGTCGAGGACACAATACATAAGCGGTGAGATCTAACTGATTACAACTAGATATAAAAATATGAAATGCATCCTACTAAATACGTGCCATCTACAAAGCAGGAATTGCTTTGATGATGGAAGTGTACACGCAGTACCAATATACATTTTATATCGGTACTACGTGTATGCGGGGCTTGTTGTAAGTGAAAGTAACCTCGGAATGGACGTGAGTGACCAGGCATTCTGAAATGGGTTACTGAATCTCAACAGAGCTATCACCTTTCAACTTCCGGGCTAAAATTGTTTGCAATGAGATCAGTATAAGATAATAATAGATTATATTGCAAACATTTTTCTTCCATAAAAACACTGCCGGACAGTGGAAGTTGGATTGTATATACATACATACATACATACAAAAAAAAAGAGTTACACTCATAGTTTTAAAAAATATGATTAACCCATTTAGGTAAACAGCATCTGGTAGATGAGGATGATTGCTCTATCCGATGGTGTAGGTAGCTAGTTTACGTGGGTGTGTTGTGATATATATCATAGTATTAAATAATATGCACAAGTTCGCAGGTGCTAAAAGTCATAAACCATTGTATGAGAGTAGTACTACTTCTTCATCCGTTATCATAAAAACTTAGATGGAAATGATGCTTACTCCAACAAATAAGAAGAGTGATGCAGAATAAACTCGAGTGCGAATGCGGCAAACAAAATTTACGTTTGAGATTCTCATGCATATTTCACGCACTCACACTCACAACGCCGAAAAATCATTCCAGCTTGAAACTCATAAAATCCACACAAACGTCAATTAATAACATGCTTATGCAGGTTGCATGAGTTTTCCAACCCCTGATGCTCAAACAATAGTAATAACAATTAGATAGGGGAAATGTTGACTTCGGCAATACCTTAACCTGGCATTTTGATTGGAGTTTTCCGGTGAAAATCTTTTGCCAATCGAAGCAAATTTACGTGTTATCGAAAGCGTAGCAGTGATATTTGGTTTCCCGCACCGCCGTGCGCTAGATTAAGTGGAAATTTTGTTGAATTCCGGCTACGAACATACAAAGCTGAATAAGTGAAAACTCTCTCTAGTGGAAGAGCCAACATGGCCGCCACGGTTCAATTAGTATAGAAGATAGGATGGATGTAATAAGTGCGGTATTCAGTGGAGAAAACCAAAGAAGGAAATCTTAAATTAGCCTCTAAGTGGAAAAATTGTATTAAGAAAGTAAAAAATCAGTTGGCTTTAAATAAAGATTTAATTGAAGTTAATTTTAAGTAAATAATCAAAAATCCACGGTTAAAAAATCGGAAGACATCGGAAAGAAAAGATGCCGCAAGCAAGTCAACCGGTCACAACCCGGTCACAGAGTAGAAAAACTGGGTCATCGGCAGCAGGAGGAGCAAGGCGGGAACCGTCAGGCTTACGTACCACAGCAGGAAGAGCGGTAATCAACGCAACCATGGATGCACCAAACAACACAAAAATCACGCCATCGAAGGTAGTTTATCTCGAACCGATCAAGTATGACGTCCCCATCCCAAGCCATCCAGCAGCAGTCGGAAAAATCCTGATCGACGCCGGGTTTGCGCGGTGTAGCGAAATTACGAAGATCGGCAAATTTCGATTCAAGCTGGAACTGGAATCAGTAGCGGACTTCCCTCAACTGGAAGGAGCCAATCTGGAGCCGAAGAACCTGAAGATATTCATCCCGCAGGGCCACAAACAAACGTTGGTCTTCATCTCCAATGTACCGCGAGAATTCACGGAGGAGGAGATGAGTGCGTCTATCATCGCCAGCGTTCCAGTTAAGAAGGTCGAGCGGATCAGGAAAAAGGACAGAGAAGGCAAGCTAGTGGACACGAGGAACGTTAAGGTGACTGTGCACGGGAGGGAGGCACCTGACTCGATCAAGTTGTATGGAGTCAACTTTCGTGCAGAACTTTACATCTTCCCTGTAAAGCAGTGTAATCTTTGTTGGAAATTCGGGCACACGAAGACCAGATGCACAGGACGAGCACAATGCAGGAAGTGTGGGAAAGCACATGAGCTGGACGCAGAATGCGACAGCCCTCTTCGCTGCACAAATTGCCAACAAGACCACCCAGCAAATGATAGGAACTGCCCTGAACGCGGACGAAGAAGTAGGATTCTGAAGAAGATGCTGACAGACCGAGTGCCGTATGCAGAAGCGGAAAAGGAGTTCCCGATACTACAGAACCGCTTCGCGCTTTTGGAGGATGAGTCTGAATTCCCAGATTTGGATGGACCGGGCACATCCCGGCGGATCAACACCGGAGCCATTCCAAAGGGCTCAGCCAAGGGCAGAAGAGGTGGAAGGTCCGGAGAATTCTGGAAAATGAGACAGGATGAAAACAGGATCGATGAGGGGAGTCTTGACGAAGGATGGGAGCATGAAAACAGGCAGGAAATAAGAAACCAGGGTGGACTTGTCTCAGCGAGAGGGCAAAGTGGGTCGGAAGAACGGGGCAGAGGCTTCAACTTCCATAAAGCTACGGAACTGGAAAAGCTCATCGCACAGATAAGGAAGGATCTCGTGCGGTTCTGTTATGGGAGGAACTGGTTGGCCCCTATAATCGAGCTCAGAAGGAAATTGGAATCCCGCATAAGCCTGGAGAGAACCGAGATCGAGACGGATCAACTGTTGATTGAGGTCAGCATGGACTTGGAGAAAATTGTAGAGGACGCCACAGTAGACAACACGGAGCAGCAGAATAGACTAACAGGATCAAACAATGGATTATAAAAACCTAAAAATAATGCAACATAATATACAAAGTATCAGACAAACGGAAACAAGAGAAGAACTCTACACATGCATGACCTCGAACAACATAGATGTAGCGCTCCTACAGGAAATTTGGCTAAAGAAGGACGAGAATTTCAAGCTGAAAGGGCACACTTTTTTCTCAAGTCGCCGCCCGGACGGGTACGGAGGAGTAGGAATCTTGATAGCAGATAGAATACTTGTGGAGAGCATCGAAATTCCAGAATTCGATTCGCTTGAAGCAGTAGGAGTAAAAATTAAAAAAGGGTTCCAGCAAATAAACCTTTTCTCAGTATACTTACCACCAACGAGGGGCTCGAGTGACGTGAGCAGAAAGGAGATGACGAGCTTTTTCTCATTCCTTCAAGAATTGGACGGAGAGTCTGTACTAGGTGCAGATCTCAACGCTCATCACATTTCCTGGAGTCCGGAATTCACTACGTGCAGTCGCGGAAGACTGCTATGCGACTTAATCGAGGAGTCAAATCTGATTCTGTTAAACGATGGATCCCCAACAATGATCTCCCCTCCTGGAAGCAGGAATTCAGCTATTGACGTCACGCTGGTGACCCCCGGAATCGCCAGAAAAGCACACTGGTCAGTGAAGGAGGAAGAGTTCGGAAGTGTACACATGAGCATTCATCTGGAAATCAGCAGTGACATCCCCAAGGTAGAAAGGACGATAAAACGGATCAACAAAGAAGCCCTTATTAACCAACTAAACACGATACGGCCGCAGTTCTTATACTCCCCGGAAGAAATGGTTACAGTGTTCAACGAAGCGGTAGAAAAAGCGTCGTTCAGCTTCAAAAATAAGAAAGCAAACTTCCTCAAAACCTGGTGGACAGATGAGATAACAAAACTGTACACAAGCAAGCGGGAAGCTCTCAGGGAGTACAACCGACAGAAGACCACCTTAAATTTCATCCGGCTGAAAAAGGAAAGGGCACTGTTCAAGAAAGAAGTAAGGAAGACCAAGCGGAGACATGTCAGGGAGTTGACCGAGAAGATCGATGAATCAACCCCACCAAGGCAATTGTGGAATCTTGTCAAGGGGATCGACACAGCTCTTACGGGAAACCATAGAAAGTCAGCCGAAATCACCCGCGAAGAGGGGATAAACTTCATGAACCACTACTTCCAAGGAAGATACAGAGAGATTCCACTGCCTGTAGTGTCCACCGAACGTTCTCTCGAAGGTTACGAGATGGCAATCAAGGAAGGGGAGATACTATCCGTCCTTCGACAACGGAAGAACCATTCTGCTGCAGGACCAAACGGAATGTCATACGCCGTAATAAAACAATTAAATCCGGGAATGCAAAGCAAAATCTGCGAAATGCTTAGCCGAGTATTTGTTTCTGAGGAAATCCCGGACCAGTGGAGGTACACCGAGATCAAGCCAATCCCGAAGAAAACTTGCAGTCCAGACTCCCCTAACAGCATGAGACCAATTGCCTTGATGAACATCGAAATCAAGCTGATAAACTCTGCAATCAAGAACAGGTTGGCAGAAATTGCAACCATAAAGGACTTGATCCCCCAACTGTCCTTTGGTTTCCGGAAGCATGTCTCGGCGTCTACTTGCATCAATTACGTGGTAAACTCGATACACAAAGCAAAGGAGGAGCACAAAGAAGCTTTTGTGATTTTTCTGGATGTGAGCATGGCGTACGACTCAGTCGACTCAGCAATACTGATTGGAACCCTAGCAAAATTGAGAGTACCGGACAAGATTATCTCGTGGCTCCACGAGTATTTAAGATCTCGGTTACTGTTACTAAGAACGGAGGAAGGAACAATAGAAGTCGAAGTATCTGAAGGATTACCGCAAGGTTGTCCCCTCTCACCGATTCTCTTCAACTTGTACACGGCCGAGCTTCATGACCTTTCATCCGATGGCTGCGAGTTGGTGCAATTTGCTGACGATTTCGCTGTCATCATCACAGCAGACTCAGTGGAAGAAGCTGCAGATACCTGCTCAAAGTTCCTACCGCAACTTTACGACAGATTAGAAAAACTAAACCTAAAAGTGAGCAGTCACAAATCAGCGATCATCCCATTCACTAGAAAGCGGACTGAAGGCCTCAAAGTGGCTGTACGTGGGGTCAAAATCGACATTGTAAACACCCATCAGTACCTTGGGTATGTGCTTGACAGAGGATTGGCGCACAGGAAACACATAGAGTCTGTAAGAGACAAGGCGGGGAGCAAAATCGGACTACTTAAAATGCTATCAAGGAAATCAAGTGGAGCAAACCCGGAAACCCTCGTAAAAATAGGAAACGCTTTGATCAGGAGCCGGATGGAATACGGAGCAACAGTGTTCGGAAACGCAGCAAAGACCCACCTGAAGAAGCTACAAGTGCAACAAAATGCATATGTGCGAAAAGCAATGAACTTCCTCAGCACCACTCCAGTTCACGTTATGCTGGCGGAAGCAGGCCAACTACCTATGGAACAGCGGATCGAATCCCTTACGAAAAGGGAACTCATCAGGACTCTTTGGTACAGAACGCCGTTGATGAAGTTTGTCGGAGAGACTCTAAATAGAGAAATGGGCAACGAATCTTTTCTAACGGAGATCACAGACAAGCACGTGGACCTACTCTTCCAAGTTCACCCTTCAGACAGGGAGTTCCCCCTGTTGAAGAGAAGGCGATTCATTCCTGAAGTCGAGTTCGATAGGATAATTAGAACAACGTTAGTGGAAGCAAGGCCCAAGAAAGAACGCACCCCTGCAGCAGTATGGCAGGCACTTTTCCAGGAAGCAAGCCAGACCTTGTACAAACAGCATAACAGAATTTATACAGACGCTTCAAAAACGGCGTCAGGCACGGCAATCGCCGTGTTCGATGAGACAGATGAGACCAGCGTAGCGGAAAGCATCAATATCAACTTCACGATTACGAATGCTGAATTGCTCGGCATTCTGAAGGCGATAGAGGTAACGAAAGAGAAAGGCTACAAGAAAACGGTCATAGGTATTCACCGACTCCAGGAGTGCCTGCGATATGCTGCTGAACGAAAGTCTATACGAAGCAAATTACCTGCTGTGGGAGATCCACAAGGAATTCCAGGACCTTGGAGGACGAACGATCAAGATCCAATGGGTACCAAGCCACAATGGTATCAAAGGCAACGAGACAGCGGACCAACTTGCCGTGACCAAATCACAAGAAAAACAAACATTCTACCATGGAATAACGGTAGGAGACGCCTTAAGACTCAGCAGCACAGAAATATGGGAGGATTGGACCAGGAAGTACAAAGCAACATCGAAGGAGAAAGGGAAATGGCACTACCAGCTCATGGACCGGCCAAACAAGAAGATATGGAGCAAGGATCTCAGGTTGCAGCCAGATGAAGTGAAAGTCTTAAGCAGAATAAGAAGCGGACACAGTCTGACCAAGGAAAGAAAAGCAAGCTGGGGATGGGAACTGCACGATACGTGTGATTGGTGTGAAGTAACCGAAAACTTAAAGCACATCCTATACGACTGCCCTCGATACAACCAAAGTAGAAGCAAATACATAGTACTGGACTACATGAAACCGTTAGAAATGATCCTGACGGAAAACTGCGAAGAAGAATTGAAACAAGTGGTGAAGTTCTTAAAGGAAAACAACATCCACATCTAAGACGGACAACCATTCATCAAAAACCTACACCTTTAAATTAAAGAAACAAAGCAAATTACTGACTACCAGCGGCGAGATGGACCAGCCATGGTCTTAGCCTGTCTGAAAAGACAAATCCAAAGAAAAAAAAAAAAAATACATTAACCTATTATCGTCAGGGGGGTAAAGAAAGTCATAGAGCACTCAAATTTGGCCAATAGATGCTCTGAAACACAATGTATGCACATGCCAAAATTGAGCTCTCAAGGTCGTTGTTTACCCCCTGACGATAATAGGTTAAGGTATTGCCAAAGCCAACATTTCCCCTATATGTATAAATAAATGAATTTTTGAATCTGAAAGTTCATCGGTGTTTTTGGCGACGTTGAATTTTGGATGGCAAAACTCATGCAGATTTGAGTGTCCGAACACTGCTTGACGATGTTTCACTAGCAACTAAAAAAAAAAATACACTTGTATTGTATTCTCGCGTCACTTTTCAAATAGACCAATGTAACAAATGTAAACAAATCGAGTTAAGCTATACAAACTATTGCTCTTCTATCATTGTATGTGATACAAAAACATCCATCCAAATTTACTTTCATTTATTTAAGATAATCATAGGTAAAAAATTGTCCAATGTACAGTTTGAAATGATGGGTATATGATTGTTACTTCGGTCATTCGGACTGCCTAACTTGATTGGTGCTCATTTTTCAAAGGCGGGGCCAATCTAAAGTTAGGTACTATACTCTGAAATCTGTGAAAGGGAATCTAGTATCATGTAGACAAAACGTCCAATGTAACACTCATTGATTATGTCATTGAGAAAAATCGTCCAATGTAACATGTCCGATGTACAACTTGACTAGTCAAAAAGTCCTATGTGGTTTTTTTTCTATATTTTAGCATACAATTCAAAGTAAAATTGTGATTTTACCGTTTCTAATAAATTTTCAACGTTATTATTCACTGACTACATTAAAAGTGGTATTGCAAAATGTATTGTTTCTAAACAGTTTAAATAATAATCTGTCGAACTTCAACTTCGATTTTCTCAAAATGGTGGATATGTTACATTGGTCTATTTGAAAAGTGACGCGAGTATTGATGAGTGTTCTAGGATAAATTATGGGCCCAAACTTTAGATCCATAGGCCAATATTAGAGCCATTTCTCCTACCTACATAACTTGAACAGATGAAAATGTCCAAGAAAGTCATCACGCAAAATCAATAACTAAACTCATTTGATAATTTTTACGGATTTTTGTATTTCCAGCATTTGAATACAGGTGTTGGCTCTCAAATGTACCCTCCGAAAGCTTTTCTCTTCCCACTGTCGTAAAAATACATAACTTGCCTTACTTTATCGCGGAATCATAGTGCTCGCGTAAGCGAACTTTCGCCTACAAACTGCTTGCTTCACACATATCAGCTTAGTGAGCAGCCTTGCTAGCCAATCGCCTGTCGCGCTCTTCGGCAATGGACAGCTTGACACCCTTGCCCTTCGGCAGCGAGATGAAAGCCTTGATAGCCTTGCCGATGATGAACACGTTGGTCAGACGGGTGGCAAAAACGTGACCGGTGGAGTCCTTGATGTGCACGATTTCGAACGATCCCGGGTGCTTCTCACGCTGGATCACGGTACCGACACGACCCAAATTCCTTCCTCCGGTGATCATGCACAGATTTCCGGGTTCGAACTTGAGCACGTCCATCACCTTACCGGTGGCGATATCGTACTGGATCGAATCGTTCTGGTGAATGATCGGATCCGGATAACGGATGGTGCGTCCGTCGTGGGTCAGGATAAACGGCACCTTCTTTGGGCCGATCTGGACGCGTTTCACCTTCAGGAGCTTGTACTGTAATCAAATGATTAGGAAACACATGAATGTAAGATGCAGGACTTGTTTAAAAGGTATTACGAACCTTGGCTTCCTCTGGAGTGATACGGTGCACGGTGAAGCGACCCTTGACGTCGTAGATAAGACGGAAGTTCTCGCTCGTCTTGTCAATGGTAATGACATCTGGAAAAGAAACATTTATTGTTAGTTGCGTACATTTCCTAAAGAACGTCGAATTTAATTTTGACCATCGCTTATAAGCCCGAAGAAGTACGGTGAAACTCGTATTTATTTAGTTACTCGGATGTGTCCAAACCTTATTCATAAAAATAAGGTGAAAATTGAACAACTTTGTAGTCACATCGCTATACGAATTCTACTATTTTTTATCTTCGGGATTGTCAGTATTTAACGCTTTTAAGCTAATAAATTAAGGACAATTTTATCTGTCACGAGAGCATTGACATTAAGTTACATTAGTATCAAATTATGTCTTGCAGAATAGAATCCTAAAACTGAAATTATAAAATTGTAATCTCTATCAACTGCCGAGATTCCCCTTTTAATCCGTGAGTCTGCTGTGAGATTTGATTCACTTGTTTACTTTTACGATCTAGTCCTTAATGCAAGAACATTATTGAATTTAATGAAATTGTACTCCGCCAAAAATGTTATTGGTGAACCACACGTAGTTCAAGATTCCCAATGACCGTCGACGGAGCTATTTTTGCTATTGGCCAATTTTTGACAGGAAGACAGGCATAATTTAGCCGCCATCCTGCTTCGATATGGCCGAACATACACACGCACTTAACATAAACAAGTCTTGTTCTCACCCATGAATCCGGCTGGGTAGTTGGGGTCGGTGCGGACCTTGCCGTCGATCTTGATGTGACGCTGCATCACAATCTTGGTGACCTCGGTGTTGGTCAGGGCGTACTTCAGACGGTTGCGCAGGAAAACCACCAGCGGCAACGACTCACGCAGCTTGTGTGGACCAGTGGATGGACGCGGGGCAAAGGTACCCCCGGTCTTGTCCAACATCCATCCTCTTGGGGCGTTCAAACGCTTCAAATGTTTCTTCGGTCCGCGAGCCTAAAATCAAGGGAAAATTTCATTAGCATTTGATATTGCCACAGAAACCCATTGTCATGGGCGGGATGATAAATTGGTGCATTTCCGTTTCCATTCATTTCATTAGACCGCTTCACAGATTCGTTGTTTAACCGTCTAACCTCTCCGGGATGTCAACAATGTCTATAGCCGGCGGCACATATACACAATATTACACTTCTTCAGCCCGATTTAGCGTATTTACTGTAATATTCATTTATATCCACCAACGCACTTCGAAATATTACATTTCCACTGAATTTCAGCTATACCTTACCATGACGGGACACCGCTTCTCAAAATATATCAACAACTCGATGCATGTGCCAATAAATTTTAACTTTTTTCGGTAAAACACTCGGCCTACGGCGGAAAATCTATGATGTGCTGCATTGCTGATTTCAGTAGCTCAATTTTCCGCACGTTCAATAGGTATTTCCACTATAATTCCAACGAAATTCACCAATTTATCATCTCGAATCGCACGACACGTTACTTACCATCTTGATAGTTTGGGGCGAAAAGAAAACTACGAAAGACAAATCTCCGGAAGTTGTCAAAAACAGTTCAGTGGATCCGTTGTTGGCATTTGACAGCCGAGTGGAAATCGAAGCGTCGCTTTCAGTTTTGGCACCGCTTCAATTCAATTTGTGACGTTCAAATTTTAAATCAGCCGTTCTCGCGTCACTTTTCAAATAGACCAATATAACATATTCACCATTTTGAGAAAATCGATGTTGAAGTTCGACAGATTATTATTTTAACTCGACAGTGAGCATGCATAAGGGCCTATACGCGTTGATCGATTCTCTTCGTCGATTTTCTCTTTCGTTAATAACTCGCTAGATTTAACGTTTATCGGTGCGTTTGCTGTTGCTTTTGATAGCCAATAAAACCTGTTACTGCTCTGCATTGAACAAATTCTAGAAAATTGTTTCGCTTAGCTGTAGCAATGCAAAGAGAAAATCGATGAAGAGAATCGATCATCGTGTATTCGCCCTTATGCATGCTCACTGTTTAGAAACAATACAGTTTGCAATACCATTTTTAATGTAGTCAGTGAATAATAACGTTGAAAATTCATTAGAACCGGTAAAATCACAATTTTACTTTTAATTTTATGCTAAAATATAGAAAAAAACAACATAGCTAGATAGAGCTGGAATTATTGGGCGGACTACTTTCGGAGAATAAAAACACCGGAATTAACGAATTCTAAACCGCGTACTTTATTCGTGTCTTATCTTACAGAGATCTGAATTTGGAATGAATGAAAACAGCGCTTGGCGCGCAAAAGAAAAAAATAGCATTGGGCGTTAAAAACAAAATACATCGAGTACACACTGAGAAATTGTATACCTTATCATCCCTGCTCAATTTCTGATAGTTGAGAGGTTAAGTTCCCCCCGCAATCGACAGAATGGCCCACCTGGTAGTGACTTCGTCATGATGTCTGCTACTTGCCGCTCCGTCGGAATGTACTCCATTCGTATGCGTCCCTGCTGAATCATGCTTCTGATGTAGTGCAACTTCACGTCAACATGCTTCAACCTACCGTGGTCCTTTTGATCTTGCACCACCTTTATGGTAGACTGGTTGTCCTCAAAGAAAGTTACAGGAACAGCAAACTTGTAACCTACTTCCTCCAGAAGACGGATCAGCCACACTCCTTCACAAACCGCTGTGCTGAGCGCGACCAGTTCAGCTTCAGTGGATGACAACGAAACAGTTTGTTGCTTTCTGGTCAACCAAGTCGTCACGCAGCCGAACACTTTAAACACGTAACCCGTCACCGAACGCCGGTCGATGACACTGTTCGCCCAATCCGCATCGCAGTAAGCCGCAACAATATCCACATTGTTATCACCTCTGTACTCCAGTCCTATGTCAACAGTACCCTTAATGTACCGTAGAAGCCGCTTCAAATGTGTCCAGTGCTCCTCAGTCGGACAACTCTGGAACTGACTGTAATAGTTGACCGAAGCGCAAAGATCTGGACGAGTTGTTAAGGTTACGTACATTAAACAACCAATTAGCTCCCTGTACGGTTTCGATGTGCGCTGCGACTCTTCTCCTTTCTGGAGTTTCAGGCGACACTCCATCGGTACCTTGCTTGGTTTGCAATCTGCCATGTTGAATCGATTCAACAAACCTTCGAGGTACCTGCGCTGACTAATGCACATGATCCGCTTTTCGACGTCTCTTTCAATCCGCATACCCAAGAAACTGGAAACTTCGCCAATATCGGTCATGTCAAACTCCTTAGAAAGACAAGCTTTGATGATTTGAATCTCCTTCAGGTTGCTTCCAATGACCAGAATGTCATCCACGTATAGGATCAGGTAGATCTTCCGCTCCTTCTCACCTCGCCAATACAGACACTGGTCACTGCTGCTCCTCTTGAACCCTAGCCTAGCAATGAATCGATGGAAGCGATCATTCCAAGCTTTCGACGCCTGCTTGAGGCCGTACAGTGACTTATGTAGCCGACAGACCAAATCTGCTCCTTCCGCAAAACCCTCCGGTTGTGACATGTAGATTTCCTCACTCAGATCGCCATTGAGGAAGGCCGTGCGAACGTCCATTTGGTGAACGAACATTCGCTCTTGATTAGCCACAGCCAACATAGTTCGCAACGTGTCCAGTTTAACTACCGGTGAGTAGGTTTCCGTGTAATCAAAACCATACCGCTGGCTGAAACCCCTCGCAACAAGCCGAGCCTTATATCGATCTGGACCACCTCCTTCGCCTGGCTTTACCCGGAACACCCACTTGCACGAAATCGGCACTCGACCTTTCGGTAGCTTCACCAGTGTCCAGGTTTTATTCCGCTGCAAAGAATCCATCTCGTCCTGTATTGCCGCTTGCCACTTCAGCCAATCCGGCCTCTTCTTCAATTTCGCGATGCTTCCCGGTAAGTTCTCGACATACTCCATTGCACCTAGAGCCACACCAGCAAACATCATGTCGTAGTCCTTCGCCCACACTGGGGGCTTCGAGATGCGCCCCGAAGATGTCACACCAGTTGTCTCACCACCACTTGCTTCCTCAAGAGTATCATCACCTTCTTCCGCCAGAGTTTCATCGCATGAATCAAACACTTCGGACGCTTCTTCCCGATCAAACTCGTTCTCACATTGTTCGTTTTTACACACTTCTTGTTGTCCATGTCCATTTACACCTTCTTCGTCGGAGTCCCCTTCATCCTCAACGTCCGCAATCACTGAGGGGCCGATGACTCTTTCAGTCCACTTAATGTCTTTCATAAAATCACTTGCCCTCATTTTCGATATCTCGTCAATAATCACATCCCGAACAGTCACGATTCTCTGCTCCTCGGGATTCCAAACTCGATATCCGTTCGTTCCATATCCCACGAAGACACCTTTCCAACTCTTCTCGTCGAGCTTTCGTCGCTTTTCTTTTGGAATGTGGCAGTAGGCCATGGATCCAAACACTCGCAACTTTGACACATCAGGCTTTCTTCCCTCGAACAGTTCATACGGTGTCAGTCTCTGACCGATAGCGCTGGCCGGACTCCTATTCGCCAAGAACGCAGCAGTTTGGACCGCCTCCCCGAATAGAAATTGTAATGTAGGAAACATCAGCAGACATCTTCAATACATTAAATTTTAACGTGTATTGCTGTAACCTTAATGTATTCAGACTTCAGTGTGACGTCCAAGTACATAAAAATACATTAGCCTCAAACGTTACATCAGAATCAAACGTCTTGACGATGTAAAATTTGACATCAGAATACATCCAATGACAACAGAACCTAACGTTACATTAGAATCAAACATCATCACGATGTAATTTGTTGCACGCATAAAACATCAGAATACATCCAATGACAACAGAACCTAACGTTACATTAGAATCAAACATCATCACGATGTAATTTGTTGCACGCATAAAACATCAGAATACATCCAATGACAACAGAACCTAACGTTACATTAGAATCAAACTTCATCACGATGTAATTTGTTGCACGCATAAAACATCAGAATACATCCAATGACAACAGAACCTAACGTTACATTAGAATCAAACTTCATCACGATGTAATTTGTTGCACGCATAAAACATCAGAATACATCCAATGACAACAGAACTTAACGTTACATTAGAATCAAACATCATCACGATGTAATTTGTTGCACGCATAAAACATCAGAATACATCCAATGACAACAGAACCTAACGTTACATTAGAATCAAACATCATCACGATGTAATTTGTTGCACGCATAAAACATCAGAATACATCCAATGACAACAGAACCTAACGTTACATTAGAATCAAACTTCATCACGATGTAATTTGTTGCACGCATAAAACATCAGAATACATCCAATGACAACAGAACCTAACGTTACATTAGAATCAAACTTCATCACGATGTAATTTGTTGCACGCATAAAACATCAGAATACATCCAATGACAACAGAACTTAACGTTACATTAGAATCAAACATCATCACGATGTAATTTGTTGCACGCATAAAACATCAGAATACATCCAATGACAACAGAACCTAACGTTACATTAGAATCAAAATTCATCACGATGTAAATTGTTGTCCCTCGGTCTCTCGCCGCATGCAAAGTTTGTTTTGTCCTGAGTCAGCACTACACGGCGAATGAGAACGACCCTAATTTGAGGTTAGTTCACTC